TTTTTAAAGTTGTCATAAGCTAGAATTACTGTATCCTCGAATCTCCTGGAATGCACCTAAACTAGTATTTATATATATCAGTTTTATGTTAGAGTATGCAATGTCGTCAATTAAATATGTTTACCCTACAGACAAATCTGCGTTTTCTTTAGATTAGAAACTAAAGAAAGTAGAATGATTTGTGTTATGGTGAACTTAAGTAATATTTACTATTAGACGAAGATAAGATAAGATAAGATTTCATTCGGATTTTTAACCCCGGAGAGTTAGCCACCTAGGATAACCCAAGAAAGTAAGTGCGTCATCGAGGACTGTCTAACTTATTTCCATTGGGGTCCTCAATCTTGTCCCCCAGGATGCGACCCACACCAATCGACTAACACCCAGGTACCTATTTGGTGCTAGGTGAACATGACAACAGGTATAAGGAAACGCGTCGAAATGTTTCCACCCGCCGGGAATCGAACCCGGGCCCTCCGTGTGTGAAGCGGGAGCTTTTTAGCCACCAGGCCACCGGGCCTAAGACATTATTTTCAGCAGTAGAAGAATAAAAAGAAAACATTCGTTTATTAACCCAGAATGGTTAGTAATCAAGGATAATTCGAGATAGTCAAACAGTGTGGCTTATTTTTCTGGGATATCGTAAACCAATGATAGACGAACCGAGGGGAAAAATTCTTAGGTCTGCTGCTTGACTGCAACTTGAAGTTTAAAACCTGCATCCAGCACATAACAAAGGTCTCCAAAACAGTAGACATTCTCTTCAAGATAAGTTACTGTGCATCTCAAACAGCACTATTTACACTGTACTACTCACTAATATACTCCTACCTCACCTTTAGTATTTGTGCCGGAAGGATCTTCTACATAAAATCGCCTAAAACTGCTAATAACTCAACAAAATGCCTCTGTATGAGTGCTTACTCAATCCACTCTTCAGAAGTTTAAGCTTGCTTGGTATACAGAGTAAGCACTCATGCTATTGTGTTTACTACACACACACACACACACACACACACACACACACACACACACACACACACACACACACACACACACACACACACACACCACACACACACACACACACACACATACACACATATATATATTATATATATATATATATATATATATATATATATATATATATATATATACATACATAGAACCATCAATATCAACCTTCTCTGAAATTCTTCCTTGATAGCTGCAACAGAACTCACAGTCGTAATACACAACACTGAACCTCTTAGATATCCCCTGAGTCTGGCTCAGTCTTTGTAAAAACTCGATGAGCATAAAAGGTCCTAAAATCTGGAGCTCTCTGTCTGTCTCTAAAGATTCCCTATCTGCCAGTCGCTGCAATGGAACTGTCTCTGTTCAGTCATACCATAAAATTGAAGATCGTTTTATGGTATGACACCTTTGTCATTAACTACGTTTCTTGCTGAAGGTATAATTGTATTTAACTACACAAGTTTTAGATAATGTTATGTCTGGTTTTTAAGTAGTTCGTAAACTTATGATTAGTTGCTTGAAATGCATTGCATAATTAATGGCTTTCTTTTGTGCCTACCATTTTACTCATGTATACCTGGAGTATACCTGGAGAGGGTTTAGGGGGTCAACGACCCCCGCAGCGATTTGAAGAGAAGCATCATGGGCTTGGCATCCCTAGTTTTGAAAGTTCTCATCACCCATCCTATCATTTTTCTAGCAGATGTGGTACATACATTGTTGTGGTCTTTGAAGGTGAGATCCTCTGACATTATCACTCCCAGGTCCTACACATTACTTTTTCGTTTTCTTGTATCGTTCGAATTTCTTGTATACCCTGATACAGCTTTACTTTCCTCCAGTTTTCCATATCTGAGTAGTTGAAATTTCTCTTCACTGAACCCTCATTGGAGAGGGTTTCGGGGGTCAACGCCCCCGCGCTGGACAGAGAATTAATAAGACATGTTTACATACCTTATTACATAAGTAGGTAACATATGTACCCTAACAGAAATAAGCCACCATGTTTGACTTCACTGGGTTATTCTAAGTAAAGTTACATGTAAGTTACTTTACTACTGTAAAAATTTAAACTTGTGTATTGAACCTGAATGAAAACTTGGTAACCCACACGAAAGGTTTCCTCATTACACGAAAAAGTACTGTTGGTCCTTATATTTCGACTCCAAGTGGAGCTCTCTTCAGCAGATACAAAATGCAGTGTTTATGCTTTCTAGTACCAGTTGGTCTGCTCTGACTACATTGCCTTCCAGTAGCTCTCCACTTTCTTCTGTGAAGACTTTTTTTTGTTAATTTTGGCTAAGCTTTGTGCATACATCTGTTTTTCTTCGTCAGTGTTCCATCCTCCGTCACCGTATCCAGACTCTTGTACATTTACAGAATGGCAGCAGTGGAAATTCGTAGAGATTTTGGTCATTTGATCAAGGCCTTCCACAGGTATATATAACTTCACCCTGCAGAAGGTTAAATTCTACATTGTAAGATACGATGATAGGATTCCTACCCCATATATGAAGCCTAGGAAGACCACTGAGTAGCCTCCTATGGATTCAATACAAATGTATTAGCGATCTACTTAATATTGCTTTATCTCAGTGTACGTGTAATAAATGAATATTAATTAACCCTCCTACAATTAAAGAAAATGAACCACATTATGTGTTAACCAATTTTACGAAACATAACAAAACCATTATTTAATAACCATTCTATTCGTTCAACTGCAGTTAACTAACTCCTTCACATGGAAGACAAACAGGCACATATTGCAACACTAAAGTTATTAGAATCAACGGAAATTTTAAGCTACTTGCACATGCAGTAGTAAAGAGAGCAGAACAATGCTGAAATGGAATCTGACTTGCACATGTCACTGCAACATCAGTTTTTACCGACGCTGCCGAAAAAAATAATATTCTGGCATCTAAGACTACAGTTGCATTAATTTCCATTTCAGAATTGTCAAGGATTACAAGGTTACAATATACAAGGTTCTAACAAGAAACATTTACATTTTTTAGGGGGACGAGGTACCCGTAGTTTGTTTTAAAATGTAGGTGGTAATGCTCAGAGGCGTCGTAAGGGGGGGAGGGGGCGGGGGGGGGCCGCCCCGGGTGACACCATTTAGGGGGTGACACCATACAGCCTCTAAAGGTGACACTAATGCACAAAACAGTGCTGCACCAACATAAGAGAAGAATCCTTATTTTCTATATAGTCTATATACCTGGAGTTTACCTGGAGAGAGTTCCGGGGGTCAACGCCTCCGCGGCCCGGTCTGTGACCAGGCCTCCTTGAGGTAAGAGCAAATAAACAAGAACAAGAACTAGAAAGAAGAATAGAAGAAAACCCAAAGGGGTGTGTATATATATGCTTGTACATGTATGTGTAGTGTGACCTAATTGTAAGTAGAAATAGCAAGACGTACCTGAAATCTTGCATGTGTATGAGACAGAAAAATGGACACCAGCAATCCTACCATCATGTAAAACAATTACAGGTTTCCGTTTTACACTCACTTGGCAGGATGGGCCTATATAGGGAAAATCATTGATTCTAATGATGTGATAGATGATTTTGCAGGATTGAATGCAAGGAAATGTGATCAGATTCACTGAGATGTTACCTGGACTCAAGGTCAAATGTAAGATCAGATTCACTGAGATGTTACCTGGACTCAAGGTCAAATGTAAGGTCAGATTCACTGAGATGTTACCTGGACTCAAGGTCAAATGTAAGATCAGATTCACTGAGATGTTACCTGGACTCAAGGTCAAATGTAAGGTCAGATTCACTGAGATGTTACCTGGACTCAAGGTCAAATGAAAGTCGATTCTATGTGATGTTATTCCTGGATCAAGGTCAATGTTAAGATCAGAATCACTGAGGATTGTTACTGTGACTCAAGGTCAAATGTATAGATCAGATTCACTGAGATGTTTATCTTGATCAGGTCAAATGTAGGTCAGATTCACTGAGATGTTTACTGGTACTTCAGGTCAAATTAAGGTCAGATTCACTGGATGTTACTGGACTCAGGTCAATATGTAAGGTCAGATTCACTGAGATGTTCCCCTGGGACTCAAGGGTCAAATCGGAACTAGTGTTTCTCTGATATGCAATGTTTTTACCTTTATTTTCAAAGTTTTTTTTTTTGGGGTAGGGGCGGACATTGATTGAAGACGAATAAATGTAGGATCTGTTGCTGATATACAAAGTGAGATATTGGAGTTTTGTTTCCAGAAATATTACTACGATTTTTTCTATTTATCATTAAAATCGTTGAGAAGTATCTCCTGCTTCATTTTATGGCCCTTAAACGTTCTCAATTTACTAAATGATCCATGCGGTAGTGACGTACACTGGAGTTACCTCCATCCCCCGCCCTTGAATTTCACGGCGGTGACACCAAAGATGTGCACCGGGTGACACCAGATTCCGCCCGGGTGAACCAACCCTTAGCGACCGTCTCTGGCAGCTTTACTGCGACAAAGATTTCGCGTTCTGATGGACATGTATCGGTTGAATTCACTGATAAGAGATTTTTACCACTGCAGAACAAGCTTTTATTGGGACAACGTTTCGTCCTGACAGGGAAACGTTAAAATAAGATAGCTAGCAAATGTGATGTGATGGAAAGAATCTGCTCTGTTTACAGGATTCCCGACTGAGTTAGGTTAAAGATACTTCGTTTGGTATACACGTAGGAACTTCCTGTTTCTAAATTTATCATGAGCCCACAAAAATCATTTTCAAAACTTCACGATTACGTTTTTTCTTTTTTCACGACGAAAATAAATTTTCCTGGTACCATAATACGACTCAGGTTCTCTGGAGAGTCGAAAATACAGCTTCAGACACTGAAGGAATGTCCCATATCATCGGCCGGAAACGGTGCTATTCTATCTCATCCTGGTACCAGATATTCTCGTGAAGGAGCGGAACAAACACCCATGATGGGAAGATAAGCCACGATACTCCTCCAGTGAGCCCTGGGCCACGCAGTATACAGAGAGCAAGGTGGTGCCAGGCAAGAATCATGACCAGTGACAAACACTGCTGAAAGCCACTTTGTCGACTCCAGTCTCGCCCTCGCAGAAATGGAATATCTGAGAGGTAAAAGTAAGGTAACATTTCATATGTGCGTAGGAAACAGCCGATCACGTCAGTCACAAGTACTGTTTACATAATCCACATCTCACACATAAATATTATTATTATAATCAAAAGGAAGCACTAAGCAGTAAGAGTTATATACAGTGCTTGGGTATTATAATGTGATTAGATTTGATTTGAGGAAGGAAAGAGTGGTTCTATTTCTTTACATTAAGAACCTTTTACCAGCACCAATGTACCACTGACCATCCCCCAAATCTTCCTTGTAGGGACCAATGCAGTAAACAGTAAATCAGTAAACTCAACAGTTTAGTTATAAAATTATTTCTAATATTCGTTGTTATTCTAAAACTCATTTAAATATATTTCATCATAGTTTTGATTCACAAAGTTCATCAACTGAAGTGAAATAAAATGAGTCCTGAAATAAAATAATTTTAAGACTTCTCATTCAGCAGGAAAGGTTTTTATATTATTAAACACTACAGCTCCAACCTGAACCTTTAAATATTTGGTTTACTCATGCATCTTTCTTGTTGCCATGAAGTGCCATAAAGTGCCATGAAGTGCCAGGCTCGAAGAGAATTAAGCAACAAACATGCAATATATCCTCCTACATTATTATTGAGGTCACAGACGGATCTGTACTTCCCTCACACTTGAACGTCTCAGTAACATTTATTTTGCAAAATTAATTGTGGCACTAAACTTGATGGTCAATTTTAATCGAGATTTTTCATTCCCATTACTATACAGTTCACCCCCATCCCCACCAACACACAAACAATGCTTCTGTCAACTGTTTACAGATTATGTGAACGCTTACCACCTTTCAAAATATATTTACAGCGAGAGGTGTATATATCAGTATAAATACAAAGTTTTTTTTTCAATTACTATGTTAATGGTAGTATGCCTTACGTTAGTATACAGGCGCCTTGCGACCTTAATAGGAATTGCACCTAACAAACTAACTAACCACCATTCACCAATTTATGCCTCTCTTCTCTTTGCCGCAATTGCATCGGAAATCTTGACGAGAGTCTTCTGTATGATTAAATTACTGAAAATAAAACCTCCACTAAAAAAATATTTATAAATTTTCTTAGGATTTTGTCCCATCCACCCACCTTCTGTAAGTGTACGATAGCCATCTGCCTCATAACTCATCTACAGCAGCTGAAGTAAGGGCTGCTGTCATCCGTACTCTATATATTACTAAAGCTTCTTCACTGCAGCCCCATACTCTAAGTGATAATATTAATTCACATCAGTCAATCGATTTAGAGATGAAATTGTGGAAGACCACTTCACCTACACACTTTTCTTCCACAGCGAACTGGTTGTATATAGCAGTGAGCGTGGGCGGTGTTGCTGTGGGCGTGAGCTTCATGTTCCTACTTTATTGTTGTTTACGCTCTAAGGTTAGTAACATCCTCCTTTCCTTTTTATTACTCCATCACTCATCTCTACTTTCTCACATCTTCATCACTCTGCTCATGTGTCTGTTCCACTACTCTCACCTCATCAAACTCAGTATTCTCCACATTATTTATATCTCAAGTACTCATCTTTCTTCTTACTTGTCCACCAACCTGACAAAGGCTCATGTACGTGTTACAGATTGGTGCGGCTGATACTTAATATAGGTAATGTTTTTGTCTATGTATTTCTACAACCTATACTCAATATACTCTCTATACTCTATACTCCGTAATTTGGAACCCCACGAACCACCACACAACACCACACCGGAGCTAAGACTCGACCCTGCAACCCAAATAGGGAGTACCTGGAGGCAGGAACCCTACATAGTTTTAAGCGAGGGTTTATAAAGCTCTGGAGAGGGAGAGAGGGACTATTAGCGATCAGTGAAGAGGCGCTCCAGGAGCTGAATTTGACCCCGCACCGCAAATAGGTGAGTACACACAACACAACACCACACACCACAAACCACACAACACACACACACACACACCACACACAACATAACAACCACACACACACACACAACACACACACACACACACACACCACAAAATACACCTCACCCCCAAAGCTGTCCCTTAGGGCATTCTGCCCCCACCCCCCCAACCCCCATCCCCCAAACCTTTTACACCACAGCCCCTATAGGCCCCCCCCAAGGCCCCCTCGCCCCCCCAAAACCCCAATATACTTGCTTTGACCCCAGTGAAAAGGAAAAGAAACTAAAGGTTTGGTCCCAAAAACGCGGATGGAATAACGAATAAACTGAGGAGGGGAATAAAAGAATCAGTTTAAAAAATCCCCAGAATAATAGCAGTCACAGAAACAAAATTTCGCTGAGACAAAAAAACAGACAAAATCTTCCCAACAGGATATCGACCCCTGAGGAAAGATAGAAGGAATTTAGAGGGGGGGGGAGGGGTTGCACTGCTAAATAAAACCCCAATGGGGATTTGAGGAAAGGGAAAGGGAAAGGAATGTTTGGGGGAAAAAGAGATACTTTGGGGTAGGTAAAATTTTCAGCCCGGGAGAAAACAAAAAGGGTAGTCATTGGAATAAAGTTTAACCCACCACAGAATTTGAGGAGGCCAAGGGGGAGGAGTACGAAGAAAAAAAAAAGGGTGGGGGTGGAACACGGGGTGAGGGGGCCCAAGAAGACCCTCATCGACCCAGAGCAAAGTTACTGGTAAGGGGCGATTTCACCCAGGGGGGATCGACGGGGAAAAACTTGGGCCAAAAGGGGGTCCCGAAACATGGAGAGCCAAGTGATGGATGTGGTATTAAAAAACCTAAAGTTTCAACATGTCAGGGACAAAACCCAAGGAGGAGGGGAGGAGGGAGCCCCCGACTGGATTTGTTTTTCACCCTGAGCGTTCAGACACGAGACATCACTTACGAGAGGCCCCTTGGAGCTAGCAAATCTTTTGTGGTTCGGGGGGTTTTGGGGGGGGGACTATATAGTAGATTTTAAACAAGTGGAAAAAGGTTAAAAACGGAAAACTGAAGGGGACAGGCCAAATAAAAAAAGGGGGGGAATTTAAACACAGGTATGAGAAACTTCCTGCAGGGGGTTTTCAGTGGGACAGAGAAATGGTAGGAAAATCGGGTAAGAGATGATGGAAAAAATGTGGGAAAAAGTTTAAGGAGGGAGAGGGAAAAATTTTGTTCCCAAAGGGAAAAAGAAAAATAGGAAGACCAAAACGAGTCCTTGGTTTACCCCAAGGTGTGGGGGGCAAAAAAATAAGTGCAACAGAGAATGGAAAAAAGGGTTTCAGGAGGGAAAAGGACCCAGGAAAACAAGGGGATTGTAGAAGAGCCCGAAAACAGTATGCGCAGAAAAAGGAAGGGGCCCAGCGACAGTATGAAAACCGGGGAAAAGCATCGAAAGTCAAAAATTTAACCCCAAAAATGCCCGTATAGCCACATTAGGAGGAAGACAAAAAGGGGCAAGGACCCGGTTTTATAAGGTGAGGAAAGAAGGGGAGAAATCAAAGGGAAAAGATCAAGAGGGATTGAGGGGGCTCAAAACGAGATTTTAAAAAAGTATTTTCGTTGAGGCAGGAAGGATCTGGGGGGGGGCAGGGCCAGTGGGGCACCCAAAAAGGAATCACCCCAAAAATGTTGGCGACATACATACAATTTAGGGGAGGGGGAAGAAACTTTCTAAGGGGGCATCGATACCCCAAAGGCAATGGGAACCCGGGCCCAAATCTCTCCTGGGTCCTTAGAGGGGAGGAAAATATGTTGTGCGTACCACTTACCCCCAATCTTTAACACATCCCCGGAAACGGGGGAAAATACCTGAGGTATGGAAAACGGCAAAAGGGAGTTCCCCTTTCAAAAAAGGAGCAGAAAAAAAGGCACTAAAAATATAAAACCTGTTTTCATTGACGTGTTTTAGTATGCAAAATTTGGGAAAAAGATTATCAGGAGGAGGGGTGGTGGAGCCCTGGAAAAGGAACAGGAGTTTAAATGCCAACCGCCGGATTACGGAAGGCAAATCCCGTGTCACAAACCTTCTGGAGTTTTACGAAAAAAAATAAAGAAGTTTAAAACAAAAGAGGAGGGGTGGGTTTGGGGTTGCATCTTCTTTGGGCTGCAAGAAGGCCCTTTTTCACAGTTCTCTCCCAAAAAGATTAGTGCAGAAACTAGGGCATCAGGGGCATAAAAACCCGGAAAAAGCACTGCATGGTCAGAGAAAACCTGACAGGGAAGGGGGAACAAAGGGGTCATTTGGGCGTAATGATGTATCACAGTGGGCACCTGTGCGAGCGGGGTTCCCCACAGGGGTCGGCCCAGGACCGTGCTATTTTTGGTATATGTGAAAAGACATGAGGGGGGGGTTAGACTCAGAAGTGTCCCTGTTTGCAGGGTGGGTGTGAAGTTAATGAGGGGAATTAAAAATTTTTGAGGGCCAGGCAGGACTTCAAAGAGACCTTTTTGGGCAGGGGGTGGAACCCCCTGGGCCCGGCCCAAAAGGCTTTTCGGGAAATTTAAACCTGCCAAAGGGAAAGTCATGGGAAAATTTGGGGGAAGGGCCAAAAAAAGGAAAACCACAGCAGGGGTATAGGCTTTGGTGGCCCAAAGGGCTGCCCAAAAAACACTCAAGGAGAAAGATCTTGGGGTGAGTTAACATGAGCAAAGTCTCCGGGAAACACACCCCTCAATCAGATAACTTCTGCGCATATGGGGCCTGGCAAACCTGGAAAAAAGCATTCCGAACCTTTGTAAGGAATCATTCAGAACTGTACACCGTGTAGTTTGGGCCCCCTCTGGAGTATGCAGACCTGTTTGGAACCCCCCTTGATAAAGCCGTCAAAAAAATAGAGAAGAAAAAGGGGTTTTGCAACAAGGTTAGTTTCCAGGCTAAGGGGAAGTCCTATGAAGAAAGTTTAAAGGGAAATCGGCCTGACGACAGGGAGGACAGGAGGGTCGGGGGAGACATGAAAAACGACATATAAAAATACTGCGTGGAATAGACAAGGTGGACAAGGACAGGATGTTTCCAGGGAGGGGACAAGAAACAAGAGGCCACAATTGGAATTTGAAGACACAAAGGGGGGAAAGAAAAGATAGTAGGAGATTTTTTCAGCCCTGAGTTGTAAGGCAGGGGAAAATAGCCTAGAAAATGAGGTGGAGGGGGAAACCCATACCCCGTTTTAAGCGAGGTTTGAAAAAGCTCATGGAGCGGGGAGAGAGGGGGTCTAGTAGCACCGGGTTTGAAGAGGCGGGGCCAGGAGCTAGGACTCGACCCCTGAAACCCAAAAATAGGTGAGTAAAAATAGGTGAACAAACACACACACACACCACACACCAACACAAAACACACATAACACCACACCACACACACACACAAACACACCCCAACACACACACCACACACACCAAACACACACCAAAAAACACCACACACACCAACACACACACACACACAACACACAAAACACCACAACCACACACACACACCACACACACACGTATAAATATATATATATAAATATATATATATATATATATTATATATATTTTAAAATATATATATATATATATATTATAATATATATACACATTATTTGTATGTATGGGGTTTCGATAGTGGTTGGGGTAAGAATATCACGAGGCTGGTAGTAGTATAATATAAAAGGGGAAAGTATGGAAAGCGCCAAAAACCGCCCTGTCTTCTCTTCTGCCTACTACGACTGCCCCATGTGCCTACAGGTGAGGGTGTTTGAAATCTGCTATGGTCAGCAGCAAATGAATACAGTCAATGATTCACACAGACGGTTGGTAGTGATCATTACGGGTTCATGGTTACTGGTAAGGGTTGCTAGGAACCGGTCATATGATATATTATATATATAATATATATATATATATAATTTTTTTATATATATTTTAAAAATTATTATAAACAATCAATCGCAGACGGGCGTTTTAATTTTTGCAGGACAAATTACGGGGGAGGGTAAAATCTTTAGTCAAGTACTTTCACACTTCTCAGTGCGTATCAGGAGCTGTGAATGTTGAAAAGGGAGCAACCAACCTGCTTTGGTTGCCCTTGCAACTTTTGCACAGCTCCTGATGAGGCACGGGAAAAGTGTTAAAGTGCTTGAGTTAAAGATTTCTCCCTCCCCCGGGCTTGCCCCTGATTATATATAATATATATTATATTATTTATTATATTATATATTATATATTTTTTTATATTTATATTATATATATATATTATATATTTTGAAGCGTTTAAATTTTCTACTTCCCCTCCACCCATTTTTTTCATTTTTTTATATATATTTTTTTTATTATTTTTTTTTTTTTATCACACTGGCGTTCCCCACCAAGGCAGGGTGGCCCCGAAAAAGAAAAAACTTTCCCCCTCTTCACCCTCACTGTCTTCCCAGAAGGGTGCTTTACATACATTTTTTTTAAACTGCAACAT